GATCCCAGGACCCTGGGATCATGACCTGAGCCGAAGGCAGACGCTTAACCATCTGAGCCACCCAGGCGCCCCCCAGCAAAGGTTTCTATAATAATTCTGGCAAACCATGAAGTGACAAGGACCTAGACTAAGACAATGCTAAACCCCAAACACTGGTTCATTCAATTGATAAGTTCGCACCAATAAGTCATAAGAACTGTGAAGGTGAACAAGGGCGAAGAATGGAATCTTAAAAAAAAAAAAAAAAGAATGGAAAGAATCTTAACACCGCCCCTAATGTCACTCTAACCAATGGGAAAGATCAAAGGCCAGTCTCAGCTCTATTATCTACAGAGATACCACCCCACTGCCCCACTCACCATTTCCACTCTCCCTCAAAAACAGGTCTGTCCCTCTCCTATTTCAAAATATAACTCTAAACTTAGCCGATTAAACTCAGCTTAGGTCAAATTACTCCAATGTCCCCATTAATATCTATGAATCAAATTGATTCTAGCGTAGTTATATCTGGTTGGATGGCTCTGGGTAAGTGGTGTGATTAGTCAGTGTGTCCTCTTTTTGCGAAATTGTGACAGTAGTACCTGCTTCGCTAGGATACTTGATAAAGGAATTAAATGAATGTCTTTGGAATACTCTTGAGCTCCCTGGAGAACAATTCCCTATACACAGAGGACTTTGTGACCTGCCTGCAACTGAAGATTTTGCAAAGGTAACCTAGGTTCAACCACCTGAAGGGGGTTTCTTATTAAGAAAGGTCAGGCCATTGGAGGAAACAGTCATTACCCCCAAAAGCCTGGAGGCTCTAGTAAATAAGAGATCTTGCACAAGGCAGTCTCTAGGCATCCTGTCTTATCACTCTGTCCAATTTCTGCCTTCACTTAAAGAGGCCTCCAGGGGCCTCTTCTAAGCCCACAGGAAAGTTAACTTATTAACCTTTCAGCAGAATACTATGTGCTAACAAGGTTAACCCGTATTTCCTTAAGAGCAATATGAATTAGCGATTACAGCAATAGGCCGCTGTAACTACAGCACTAGGCTGTGCTCCTCTGCTTTGCTCAGAATATGTTACCTATGAATGACTCGTTAAGATGTTCAAGTGTGTGTGTCCCCAACACAGACATCACCAAGGTTTGGGCACTGCAGGAAAAGGGCAGAGCTGCTCTTTATCCCTTTTTGGATTCCTCTCACTTCAAACATTCTGCCTGCGCGAGGCGGCCACTTCTTAAATACATGGTCGCAATTCTGAAGCTGTTGTGTGTATGCTCAGCGGCACCCACCCCTCCCGGAGTTCCAGCCCAAATCCTCAGCTTTTCCCCTCGACTAAGACTGAGGCCAGGGGTCCCGGAGTCACGGCGACGCGCAGCCCCACCACAATCTCCCCAAATCGCCGATGCCATGCCAGGCGGAAGCACCTAGCTGCCGCTTCCCCAGAGCCCGCGGGGCCCGGAGCGGACCCGAGCTCACGCCGCTGCGCGCAGAAGTGGGAGGAGGCGCGGGGCGGGGGCCCGGGCGCCCTGCTGGGGAAGGGGCGTGATCGCGGAATGCTCGCTGCCAGGGCGAGCCCAGGCACGGGCTGCCAGGCGACGCCGCCGCGGGTCTCTGGGAGCGGGGCGGGGTGGGGTGGGGCGGAGCGGGGCGGAGAGGGGGCTCGAGGGCAGACAGAAGCGGCCGCGGCTACTCACTCAGCCAGGACTCCAGGCTCTCCCCTTCCGCCTCCGCCATATTGCAGCCGCCCGGGCCGGCCCAACCGCCTCAAACCTCGCGAGAACCTGTGAGAGACGAGTCGGGGCGGGGCCTGCATGGGGGCCTGAGAAGAGAGCGCGCCGCCGCCGAGAGTGGCGTCAGACTGCGGCGGATAATGAGACGCCGAATGTTTCCTTTTGAGTCTTGCCTTTGGACCTCGGAGTGAGAGACTTAACGCCCGGATTAATGGTGTGACGCACAGATTTTGGACCCTGCGGAGCTTTTTCCCCCGTCTCCCATCACTCGCTCAGGCACGCCGAGGGCAGCCTTCGTGGGGTCCTTGTGGCCAGCCAAGATGGCTGCCCCCGCGGTGAAGGTTGCGCGAGGGTGGTCGGTCCTGGCGCTGGGTCTGCGGAGTGCTGTCCCGCGGTTTCCAGGGTGAGAGGACGGCAGGAAGCTGGGGTGCTGCTCGGGACTTCACGGAGAGACCTGCAGGAAGGAAAGGGCCACAGGCAGAACGCGCAGGAACCTGGAGAGAACCTGGGGGCCAGGATACCTCGGTCCAAACCTCTGAACTGGCTGCGTGACTTCGAGCCAGTGTGAAGGCTTAGCGATTTTCCCCAGCCCAATGGGGTTCTGAGTCGAAGCTGAAAGCGCGGTCTTACCAAAGAGCTCTGAGATGGGATTTTCGGGGGCGGGGGGCGAGATGCTTAGGCGGGGCGCCTATCCTGAGGTTCAGGAACCTCGCCTTACCGTTGGCACTTGACGAGGAGGAGACTTTCCTGGCCTGTTTGGGGGAGGCCCACCCACCTCTTAGGACAAGAGCCAGAATTATTGCGTTCAGTTTTGCCTAGCGGTCTCCGTGCCGCTCTTAACTCGTCGGCGGGTTGGCAAACAGGCCCATTGTTAAGTCAAGCCTTTTTACTTGTGGAGTCAGCTTTTGCCGGCCTCTTCCTCTTCCCTCCTCTCAGGCTAACCCAGGTGAGGTGGAGCCGCTATGGTCCTGAATACAGGGATCCACAGATTGACAAGGAGTATTACCGCAAGGCCTTGGCCGAGCTGACTGAGGAGGAGAAGTATGAACAGGAACTCAGGAAGACTCAGCTTATCAAAGCTGCCCCAGCAGCGAAAACAAGCTCTGTGTTTGAAGACCCCGTGATCAGGTTAGATGGAAGCAAACACTTTTGTTCCACGGACTGGGACTATACTAGGGAGGGTCTACAGTAAGAATTGTGATAGAGCTTGGGAAATCTAAACATTTTGTTTTTCTCCTTGAAGTAAATTCACCAACATGATGATGAAAGGAGGAAACAAAGTACTGGCCAGATCCCTCATGACGCAGGTAACACGTCTCTCCTGTGTCCTTGCTTACATCTTTGTATGTGGTTCTTTCAGTTTAGCTTAAAAGAAGAACAGCTTCATATACCTGCTATTAGAATTACCTTCCCTGGGGCGCCTGGGTGGCTCAGTCGTTAAGCGTCTGCCTTCGGCTCAGGTCATGATCCCAGGGTCCTGGGATCGAGCTCCCGCATCGGGTTCCCTGCTCGGCGGGAAGCCTGCTTCTCCCTCTCCCACTCCCCCTGCTTGTGTTCCTGCTCTCGCTGTCTCTCTTTCTCTTTCTGTCAATTAAATAAATAAAATCTTTAAAAAAAAAAAAAAGAATTACCTTCCCTGTATGGGGTGCCTGGGTGGTTAAGCGTCCAGCTCTTGATCTCACCCCAGGTCTTGGTGTCAGGGTCGTGAATTCGAGCGCTATGTCGGGCTCCACGCTGGGCGTGGAGCCTACTTTAAAAAAAAAAAAAAAAAATTACCTTCCCTGGGGCGCCTGGGTGGCTCAGTCAGTCAAGTGTCTGCCTTCGGCTCAGGTCATGATCCCGGGGTCCTGGGATTGAGCCCCGCACTGGGCTCCCTGCTCAGCGGGGAGTTTGCTTCTCCCTCTGCCTCTGTCCCTCCACTCATGCTCACTCGCACTCTCTCAAATAAAATTTTTTGGAAAAAAAAAATGACCCCGTGTGTATGTGTGGAGGCGGCGGCTGTAATGAAGTCCTGCAGGAGCCAGCAGCCAGCATTCACTCCCCCAATCACAAATCTCTGTCTACTGCCCTGGTCCTCCTCCAGGAAAGAGGAGGCATTTAAGAACTTTGCCTTAGAAGTGCTGAGAGAGGGGCCACATTGTTGTAAAAGAACAGGATGGCAGAGGAGGAAAGGGCAAGGTATTAGCTCAGCTGGATAAACCCTTTAGGGAGTCTGGGGCAGCATCTTCCAGTGTATCCCTTTGCAGACTCTGGAAGCTGTGAAAAGGAAGCAGTTTGAGAAGTACCGTGCTGCTTCTGCTGAGGAACAGGCAACCATTGAGCGCAACCCCTACACCATCTTCCACCAAGCACTGAAAAACTGTGAGCCTGTGATAGGGCTGGTGCCCATTCTCAGAGGCGGCCATTTCTACCAGGTGAGCCCGGAAGGTAGGGCTCCCCACCCATGGAACAAGCTGGTGGTGGTGGGTTGGGGAGCACTTGGGAGTGGGAAGGCCCAGAGTTGGGCCAAGATTGATGGTTTTATTGGGAGCAGGTTCTGTCCACGATGTTGTGTCATAAGCTGTCAGCTTCTCGTGGTGGGGGACTGTGTATAACTCATCTTTGTACGCCAGCGTCTAGAGTAGCACTTGACCCATAACTGGTGTTTCGTTGCTATTTCTTGAACTGAACGAGGCTCTGTCCTAGCATATAATTCTGTGTCATCGTCATAAGCCAGTGTTCTTGGCTTCTGATTTTTAATGTAAACTTCATAAGGGTGGAGCTCGTTAATGTCTGTATCCCTAGGGTCTGGCGTGTCCCTAGGTACCTGGCATATAGTGGCGGTCTAGCAAATGATTCTGGACAAGAGGGTCTTGTTTTTAGGCACCCCTGATCTGAGTTGGCTAAGTCACCCCAGCTTGATGGGGCTTTTCCCAGTTGATGCTCATATCAACCTGGCTGAGCTTCCATTTAGAGGTGAGAGAGGTCTCTGCCTAATGAGCTTTTGCTCAATGAATGCCTCTATGTGTACACTGAGGGCACCCAGGGGCGAGGGGGACTCAAAGAGGAGAAGCCAGGCCTCTCAGGAGTGTTGTCAGAGCTGGCCCAGAGGGAACCTGTGGCTGCCACTCCTTAGAGCTCAGGGCAGAAGGAGACTGCCGCCCTGACAAGGTCTTGGACTAACTTGCCCGGGGGTCTTGTCCCATCCAGGTCCCTGTGCCACTTCCCGACCGGCGTCGTCGCTTCTTGGCCATGAAGTGGATGATTACTGAGTGCCGGGAGAAGAAGCACCGGCGGATGCTGATGCCGGAGAAGTTGTCACATGAGCTGCTGGAGGCTTTTCACAACCAGGGCCCTGTGATCAAGAAGAAGCATGACATGCACAAGATGGCGGAGGCCAACCGTGCCCTGGCTCACTACCGCTGGTGGTAGAGGGAGGCTGGCGGCTCTCTGCTGCCAGATCGTGGGAGCCACTGTCACAGCGAAAAACCCTTGTGGGTTAAGTAGTTCCTTCTTAAAGGGGGAGCAACGTATTTATTGCTTGTTAGTCCTTTCTTTGGGAGCTAGAAGTTATTTTCCTGTCCCATCTCATTTAAAGAGGGAACGTATCAATTTGGATTTCTCCTAGGAACTTAGGGTCCATCCAGCCTCTCTTCCTCAATTCGGGGTAGAACTTTGGGGGAGGATATGAAAGGAAGCAGTTTTAACATTGGAAAAGGTTTATTAGAAAATTCTCGCCCTGAACTGGTGTCGCATGTGAGGTGGTACTGCCATTTACTAAAATCCACTGGAAATACGTTTGTTTCCGAAGTGGTCCTTGTATAAAATGTATAAAAAGCAGTTTCTGGTGTGCCCTGTGCTGTGCCCCTCGATAGCCCAAAGTACCCCACCAGTAGCTATGGGGATGGGGGAGCCGAGGCCCCCAGGATGGCTGTCGCACCAGCGGTTACACAGTGCAGTGGGTGTTAGAGGCTGCCTTTGCCTGGCCCAGGCTGGAGGTGCTGGGGGAGAGGTTGATGGGATGGTGGGGGCAGCTCTGTTTGGTGTCTTCCCCGGTCCCTGAGGTCCCTGAATCCAGGAGGGAAGGTGCGCAGGGCAGGACCACTGCGTAAGTGGGAAACCTCTCAGGAGCTGGTGAGGGTCTGGAAGGGATGGTCTTTGGGAGGGGCAGGGAGTTGGGCAGGTGAGAGGCCGGTGCTGCTGGTGACGCAGCGAGAACCGGAGGCCTAGTCGGAGACCTCGCTGTAGTAATACTTGTGGGCAGCCGGGGTCGTCTTCCAGCCGGCTGCCCGAAATTCGATGATCTCCAGCAGCAGCAGCTGGGCCAGGGAGCTGAGGCCACTTGGGAGCAGGAAGCCGTCCCGGATCAGGACAAAGAGCTCATCCATGCGCTGTCGGTTCATCTTCTCCAGCTGCTCCCCCACGCGGTGCAGCTGCAGCACCAGGCAGTCCACCTGCAGGGTGCAGTTGGAGGTGACCCCGGGGCACACAGAGCAGCCATTCAGGGAGCTCTAGCGGCGAGCTTGCTCGGCCCCACACACTTGTTTCCTCCTGACCTGCTCGCAGCACCTGGTTGGTGTTTGCCACATCTTACGTGAAAGGAGACAAGTTCAGGACTTGCCATAGGTCTCGCCGGCCAGGCTGGATGCGGGGCCTGTCTCCAAGCTGCCACTTAACCCAACCTTCCTACCCCTCCCCCACCCTGCCTGACTTTCTTTCTGGGCCATCTGTATCCACAGCTGGGTTCCTATCACAGGTTGGCTTTCCTACTGGGAAGAAAGCCTCTGAGCCTGTAGGTTTTGGCTGCTCTCTGTTCTGAATAAATTCCAAGCCTGGCAGCTTGTCCTGGAACCGAGACAGGCCTTGAATATCCCCACCAGGCTCCTGCCCTGGGAAGTGATGCTCTTGGATGCTTTTCATGGACAGTGTGCTGGTATTCTGAGCTGAGCCAGGGACCACCCATCTCCACAGCTGTCTGAACTGAGGTCACCCACCTCCTCCTCCTTGCTCAGACTGTCAGGCTGGGCCAGCCGGAAGAGGCAATCGTAGACGGGGTTCACCAGGGCCATCATGGGCATGTTGTTCACCTGTGGGGGGACAGCAAGGGCCAGAGCACTGAGCGGCTGAAGGAGACAGGCTGTCTCTGCCGCCCAGGGTGGCTACCGGGGCCTCACCCTCAGGTAGTCAAAGATGTTGCAGATAAAGGTGACATAGCAGACCCAGCCCTGCAGGGACCGGGCTCGCAGCTGCTCCCGAGCCTGGTACTCCTGCTGCAGCCGGTTGAGGAGTCCCCGTCGGAAGACACTCTGGCCTGCTTGTTTGCTCTCGGCCTGTGAGCCAGGGAAAGGATGGTGAGCCGGGGGCGGTGCCATGGCGACCCCCACTCAAGCTTTGGTGGCTGAGGACCCTCCTGTCTGACCCTCCACCTCTGCCCTGCTGGCCAGGCCTCCTGCCCTTTGCCACGGCCTCTCCCAAAGTGTCTCCCCGCTTCTCCAGCCCACCTGAATGATGGCATAGCACATGCGTCCTGCTTCTTTGCTGAACACACAGTCCTGCAGAGAATGGTCCACAATCACATTGGCCACCTTTTCCAAGTCCACGGCACCTGGATCTAGGGTAGAGATAGGTGGGGAGTCTAGAGCTGCTGAGTTACCACATTTGTTTCCACTTGCTTCTAAGGATTTGAGATGTTTTTACAAAAGAGCACTCCCGTGATACACTTACATTTTAAAAGACCAGAAAATACCAGGAGAAGTAGCCCCACATCAGAACAGCTCCACTGGGCGACTGATGGCTGGGACAGGTGGCCGTTAGAGATTAATCAAAGAATGCTAGTTTTTTAGGGCACACATTTCCTGGCACTAGGTTGCAGAAGGAACACTGAATAACGATGTATTTGACAGCAATTTCATGGAAGAAAGTGCTCTTACAATACACACACATGAACACCTGACAAGGCGGGCCAGGCAGGGCCTCCCCAACAGGCTTAGCTTGGCATGTGATGGGCATTACTAATTGTTAGCTGAGTCAAACTTCTGAGTGCTGCAGAAGGCACTGATCCAGGATAATGACTGCATCTTCTCTGCCAAGCAGAATGCTCCATCCTCTGTCCCAAGTCAGCCATCTCTGCACATTCAAGACCACCTGCTGTGGCAACACAGAAGCCAGGGCCAACGCAAGGGCTCTGGAGACGAGAATTCCGTTCTCTGTGCTCCACCCCGCTCTCATGGGTACTTTAAAAAATGGCTTTACTGCCCGAGAGGTGACTCTATGATTCATACTTTCAATTATTGGCCTAAATGTGACTTGTCCTCCAGTCCGAGAGCGATATTGCTGACTTTTATTCTCAGAAAGCAAGGGGACAGGGTTGGGCATTCCCTGGCTAAGGCTCAGGCCTCCAGGCCTGTCCCCTAGGCCCCTTCTCTGCAGCTCAGGAGGGGGCTCCCATGCTCACCTTTGAGTGCTGTCTTCAGCAGCTGCTGAGTCTCTGCATCAAAAGACTGGATTTTATACTCCTCTCTACCAGGATCCCCCATGACCATTCAGCCCCCACAGCTCTTTACTGAGGTGGGACTAATGACAGCACCTGGGGAGGAGGAGCGGGGAAGGGAGAGGCCTCAGTTGTGCAGCGTGGGGTCAGGGTTTCTAGTCCTGCAGGCCCCGGCCAGGGCTGGCCGGCGCTTGGGACAGGTGCTCCCAGCCAGTCCATTGCCTTGGGTGGTTGGCTGAGGGCCCAGCAAGCTTGGCTTCTAGTGGAGACTGGGCACCAGCCAGGCACCTGCTGCTCAGTTTAGGAAGCCTTGTAGCTTCTGGGATTACACGGGAGTAGAGACGTAAAGGTGAACGGGCTGACCGTCCAGTCTCCAGAGTAGGCAGGGATATTCTCCATTGATACTACGGTTGGGGTGCGGTGAGCTGCACTGGGGGCGTGGACAGGGGCATATCAGACACTTGCCCTATGTAAACCGGCCTGGAAGCTGCTGGCCCAGCACGACTTCGGGGGAGTGCCGGCTGGGGGCTCTGGACGGGTCTGTCCCAGCAGAGTTCCAATCCCCTGGCCCCGACCCCTCCCTCTTCTTTAGTCAGAGTCCTTCTAAGTCCCCAAACCCGCCCCCTCCAACCCTTGGCCTGGCCTGTGTGGGCGGGTGCGGGGCCCTAACTGCTCCTGTCCAGGCCAACTTCTCCCCGGGACGGACTGGTTAAACTGGCCTCCCGAGCGGCAGAAACCCGGCCTTGCCCACTCAGGACTCCTCTAATTCCTGAGGTCCATTCTGGAGCCTTTCTCTTAAAGAAGAGGGGAGCGAGATGACACGTCTCCCAGATGCAGTCCCTGTTGGAGTCCCCTCTCCGGACGCCGTGCCTCCCCCCTGGTCAAAGGACGACCTCGGGGAATCTCCAGAACCGGGCAGCCTCCCCAAGCCCGGAATGCCCTTCCGGGCGGGGCAGGGGAGCCGTCCCGGGTCCCGCGGGCGGGAGAGGCGGTGCGGTGCCATGCGAGCGCCGGGACCCACCTGCCGGGCCGGCACCGCGCCCGCGTGCCCGGAGGCCGCTCGGCGGGCATGGTGCGCGCGCCCCCGGTCCGCCGCGCTGCAGAGCTGGAGCGACCCGCCAGGCCTCGCCGCCGCTTAGGTCATTTCCGAGCGCGGCGCCGGGGCGGGGCCAGCGTGGAGGGGCAGGGCCGTCTCGCCGGCGCCACCTGCCGGAGTCCCGGCGACGCCATCCTCGCCGCGCGGGCTGCCGAGGTCCGTGGCGGTAGCGCCCGACCTTACACGGCCCGAAGCCCTCGGTCGCCAGCGGTGGCGGCCCCGTCCCGCTCTCACGCCCGGGGCTCGGGTTAAAACGGGATCCAAAGAGGAGACGGCGGGGCCGCGCGGCGTAGCTGGAGGGACAGGAACGCATAGGTGGCGGCCGCCTGCTCTCCACTTCTAACACCCCCCCCCCCGCCACGCGAGAGAAGGCAGGGGGCCCTGTAAGGGCTGGATCAACCCCCTCTGCCCCCTCTCCTACTCCAAGTACAAACGGTACTGGTAAAATAAGTTGAAAATCAATGGACCAGCTCAAGAATAAGGACCCCCCCCCGGCCCCCGCCAGCCTGCCACCGCGAGATGCTGGGAGTGACGAGTTGGACAAGCCCCTGACTTGGTCGTGGCTGCGGCTGGGGAAGGGGCGCGGGCCCAGCAGCTGAGGGCCTTCCCTGACGCCAGCCCTGGGCTGCAGGAGGGCAGCCAGAAGGGGCTGGAAAGGCGCCTCTTCCGGTAGGTAGCACAGTCAAGTGTCCATGGCGGTTTCCTGTTGCCAGAGTAGCTCTCCTCCTGTCAAAAGGGCTGGCCAAAGTGGTCACCAGCAAATGGATGAGAAAGAGCAGCTACAGCAAAATAATGAGTAGGAGAGATGAAGAGAATAAAGTTTACTTTATTCCACTAAAGTGGAGTTTCTTAAAAGATACATTCAGGCAGCTTTCCTGCAGCCCCAAGCCCCAGCCTCCAGTGCCCCAAACCCTGTGGGTGTTGCAGCACCACCTACCCACAGCCTGGATGTTCATAATCAGCAGCCGGGAGCAGGGAAGCTTCAGGATTCAGGGTCCCAGACACGTCACAAAGCCCCAGGCCAGAGCCAAAACCGCTCTGATGACAGAAGGGGTCCAAGGGCCATGACACCCACACAGGCCTGCTCCCGGGTCCTGCTCTCGTCCTCAGTGGGTGCAGAGGCTGGAGCTAGAGCCCAAGACTGAGGGCGGGGTGAAGTCCTGCAGGCGGCTCGGCTGTTCCTCCACCCTGGCTCCCCTGGGGGGTTGGGGGGCAGAACTGGGTGGAAAGGGTGGTGGTTGTGTTCTGTAGATTTCCTGGTCTCACCCCCTAACTGCAGTTTCTCCTCTGTGCCCAGACGAGTAGCTGTTGTGAGTTCTTGTGCTGACAAGCCCCTGACACCACTGCCCTCAGCAGGCTGGCTGCCTGACCCTTTCCTTCTACCACCCACTTCATGAGGCTGCTTCAGAGCTGTGGGCCTCCTGGGGTGACAGGACACACGTAGCACCACGCTGATCATGGAGGGGACGCTGAGCGGGCAGCTGATGCCAACAGGTCCAGCTGTAAGGCTCCCGCCCCCACCCCATGGAAGAGGAGTGACCCCAGGCAGACTGGGGAAAAAGGCCGCCACCTTTACCCCACAGCTCCTCCCCTTCTTGTGGGCCGCCGAGATCTGTTTTCCCCAGAGGCCCTCTAGCCACGCTCTGTCCCACCCAGGGGAGAGAACAGCCTGAGCGGGACTTCACAGAGAGGGGGACCTGGGCATGGGGGGCGGGGGCTATAAAGTGACTAATTCGTCCCCTCAGAACCAGAAGCAAAGCTGCATGAGGAATGCAAGTATTGAGAAAAATGGAATCTGAGGAAGCCAAGGGTTCCCTCCCTCATACTCTGTGAGGAGGGACGTGATGCAGAAGGGAAGATGGAGTGAAATAAGGAATGTGCTTGTAGCTTCGGTGTGTATTAAATTAGCTGGTGGGAGTAACAGCGCACATGAGAGGACCAGGCCCCCCGCACAGGGCCCCATCCCAGCCCTCAGGCTCCAGCCATGGCCCCTCCACCCCCACAGCCCGGAGAGTTCTCTGGGCAGAAGGTGCTGAGAAGCGCAGGGGGGGTCACTGCCACCTTTCCCGCAAGCCAGGACCACACAGAGAAAGCACCTCAAGCTCCTTCTGACCAACGTGGCTGCGTCCCCACAGGCCAAGCCCTGCACCCCCCCGAGAAGGCCCCTGCCCTTCTAGTCACGGCAGAGCCGCCCGGCAGGCAGGGAGCGGGCAGCAGCCCTCAGTGCAGCAAGAGATGGTACAGGAGTCTGCCTTCCTTCCGGAGGCCGCCCTTCCTGCCCTGGGGGCTAGCTGTCCGCCTTCTTCATGTGGTGGAAGAGGCTACAGAAGAGCTCATACCAGAAGAACACGAAGCCGGTGGAGAAAGCAGCCTTCAGCAGGCTCGGGGACAGGCCCTTGAAGAGGCCCGTGGGGCCTTCCTCCTGCAGCACCTGCTGGGCACAATCCAGGAGGCCCCTATAGCTGCGAACCTGGGCAGAGGAAGAAGACAGAGGAAGTGATTAACACACGGATGCTAGCTCTTTCTTCTGTCAGTCCAGCACCTGGCACATCACAGCTCCCAGTCAACACTGGCTGGACAAGCAATGAAGGCAAAAAGA